TTTCCAAATAACTTCCAAAGGGTTGCTTTCCTGCTCAGGAAATAGTCTTTCTCTATCAATAGCCACAGGAGGTAAATGTGTCACCTCTGGGTAAGAGAATAAAAAGACAGTGTCACCCAAAGAGGAAGGTAGAAGAATGGAGGAGTTAAAGTTGATGGGGGTGAAAACAACACTGGAAGCAGTAAATGTGAACAACTTTGCTTATTGCTAAATGAACACAATCAAGTGGGATTGTTCATGGAGGCAGCTGAGGTCAGCAGAAGAAAGCAGATGCTTCCTTAAGGGATCACTGCAAGGAAACCCACAGACCCTGCTGCAAGAGGTCTTAGAAGCTTTTTGACTCAACTTAGCCACATGAGCTTCATTCACATCAGGCCTATTTATTGAGCTTGTCCTAGAGCAGTGGTTTTCAAATTGTGGTCCCGAAGCCAGGAGTGGCAGCAATAGATGGGAATATATTAGAAACACATATTTCAGGCACCATCCCAGACCTGTTGAATTAGGAAGTCTGGGGATTAGATCCAGCAATCCGAGTTTTATCACCTTCAGGTTATTTTGAATGCATGCTCAACTGTGAGAACCAGTGGGATTGATCTATTTTAATTGTCGAGCTCTGTGATTAGTGCTACAGTGGGGTTAGAGCTGTCAAAGAACACCCAGTTGAAATTGAATTTCAGATAAACAACTATTTTGTTTAGTATAAACATATATAAAAGTATGTGTGGTATATTCAAATTTAACTGGGCATTCTTAAGTGTGTTTGCTCAATCTGACAACCGTGGGAGTGGGGACTCCAGAGAGCATTACCAAAGAAGGTCCTGGGTGACTTCTTTCTGGGCCCTTGGTGTCCTCAGTGTAGGATTAGACAAGACTTACAGAAAAAGTAGGGAGGGTAGAGATTTATTGCAGGCAGAACAAAGTACACTCTACACAGCAATGAAGAACACTCACAGTGGCCCTGAGGATAAAAGGAAAGGAGGCTTAGTATCCAAACACCTGGACAGGTCCTTATCTCATGTAAATACTATATGGCATTGAAACAATCATCCTAGTAAAAACTTACTTGGCTTCGTGCCAGATGAAAATTGTCAAAAAAAAAAAAAAAAAAAAAAAAACTCCTTGGCTTTGGCCTTACACTAAATATATATTGTTAGGGACCTGACTCTGGCCAGCACAGGCTGCGTTCTCCTGGTGCTTCTTGGCTCTTCAAGACCTCATGCTCTCACCTTTAGTTTCCCTTCCCCCCAAAGCCACAGGGATCCAGAGAGGTTAAACCTGTTCCTCCAGGACTGAACCCTTAAGGGCAACCTGGCCTGTGATAGGTTAAAGGTAGCCCACTCCTCATAAATAAGCAATAGCGCAGCCCAAAAATGATAAAAGGACCTTCCTCTCTTTGTTCCTCTCTCTCCTTTCCTTCTCTCTCCTGTCTCTCTTCTTCTCTCTCTTTTTTCTTCCCTCTCTCCTCTCTCCCTAACTTGCCTTCCCTAATAAAAATCTCCTGTGGGACCTCAGACCTCTCGGTGTGTGGCCTAGTTGTTGAGCTTTGCTGTGCCTCTACATAAATGAAAAGGGTTGGGGATTTGCCCTAGTGGCTCCACACCTGCCTGGCAAGTGCAAGGTCCCAAGTTTGTTTCTCAGTACTGAAAAAAAAAAAATATAAACGAAAGATCAGGTTTTTATTGGTCATGCCCATATCAAAAGGATTAATAATAGCATCTTTTGACTGAACCTTTGAACAGTGCCAGATTCTAGTGAAGGATTAGAAATAGCATTTTCTGATTTGTCTCATCAACAGTGTTTAGGACTTTAAGTCTGAAGTCATTTCGGGTCCCATGTTTTGTGTATGTCTTCTCTTTTTAGGAAACATCTTGGCCTAGTGTTTAATGGAGGGATTTTATGACTTCTGACACATTCCACATGGTTGGTTGTCCGATTTGCCTCAGCCCTAATCTCCCACTGCAAGAGGATGAGAATGATACAAGCATACCCATCAGACAGTGCCCAAGGCCAGCTGAGTGTACAAAGCTTTGACATAAAACAGACACAGGACAATTCCAAAAAGCATGTAATCAAGAGTCTAAAATGTAGATCACAACTCTACAAGCATGAACTGGAAACACAAATTCAATTCTTAGAGTCTAAAACGTAGATCACAACTCTACAAGCACCTTGAACTGGAAGCAATTCTAAGTACAGAGCAGTGGGAGGGAGAATAAGCCAAAAAGAACTTTAAGAATTGAATTTGTGTTTGCAGTTCAGATTCAAAGGGTCCCAGGTCTGCTGTTGCTTCTGGTGATGGCACCTGTACTATCTTTTGTCTGTGAACAAATTCCTGCCTTGTGTGAATTAGAAAGCACACCCTTTCCTTGGAAAGCTGCAGCACTGCACCTGGTTGCACAGCTCAGGGCATGGACCCCCAGGCTGGAGTTCACTCCCTACTTGTCCCCTTGGCTAGACACAAGCTGCATAGCCCTTTGTGGCAGCTCTGAGCATACTGCCTTTGTGACAGGCCCTCTCTTTGTGGCTACTTGGATCCACTCCAATTGCTTACACTCTTGTCTGCTTTGTTTCAGGGTCCCAGCCACCAGTGGGGGAGGGTCTGCCTCCCACCAGCACCCAAGACTCAGTTTTCTAAAGCTATGTTTGTCAAAAGCACCCATGTGCAAATTCCTTTGTTAATAATGGTGGCATTCAAGTTGAATTGCGCATGAAATTGCCTTGCTAAAGAAGCGCCTCTCTATATATAAAAGGGGGCAAGAGAATTTGAAGGATCTGATTAGTTAATAAGAATTCTGAGTAGTGAAATTTCAAATTAGCATAAAACAATTTCTTGTTCAGGGCACGTGCAGCATCAGAGAAAAAGAATTCTTTTCTTCCCCTTTTTTGTTAAAGCATTTAGTTCTAAAATAGTATAATCACAATAAGACATTCCAATGTGTGAATTATAGTATATTAAGTCATGACTAATTGCATTGATTTGCATTCAGGATTTTTTAACATCTGTGTGGTAATTACCCTAATCCAATTTGTTATGCAGAATACAATCAATGTTATGTATGTTAGTGTTTTAGGGCCCCAACACAATTTCCTGCAATAAAAGGAAATGAAATACAAAGGTAGCTCAGGTGGAAAGACAAGCACATCTTTTATAGATATCAAGCTACCTTTCTTGATCTCCAAAATTGGCTGGGGGAGGGGAGAGTAGCGATCAAGCAAATTTAATTAGCATTTTAAAAGGAGGCCCAAGAAATGAGTGATCCAGGGAGAAGGCTCCTGTGAACGAGTGAGAGCAAACTGTATTAAACCTTCAGAAAGAAAAAAAAAATCCTAGCAGCCTGTGGCTTTCAGAAGCTGCCAGAAATAATGTCCTGACCTAGCCCGGTAATGAGCCAATGAGACTTTGTTCTGCTGACATACTGCTATTTTTGTAAGGGTTACATCTTACCTGGGAGGCAGGGTTTAGTTTAAAACCTTTCATTTTTCTGTCTTTTTAGGGAAAAGATAGAACTCTGACTCATATTTTTCATAAAGTCCTATGAATCTGAAGCCGAGCTAAAGTATCTGAGCTGACTTTAGGCATACAAGTACAGCAATCTATGTCTCTGTCCTCCTCCTACCTCTAGACAGACGACAACACACATGAAACCTTACCACCCCCACTCAATCTCTTATTCAGAACATCTAGTCTTTTAACTTCCGGATTTATCACTTTAAAAACCTTCCTCATCAACAATGCAAACTTAGTGAGCAATAGTTAAGCAGCCTCTTTGAAGAAAGCAGGTTTCACTTAATTCAAAAGAGTAAAGAGAAGGGGGAGGGTACCAGATGTCTGAGGGGTAGTAGACGCTCCAAAGAGGTTTTTTTGTAAGAAAGGGGGCCTGAGAAGCAATGGGGGCAAATTTTACAAACAATACTCACGTTGCTATTTTTGATGATTAAACAGGAGCTGGTGTCCTCCAACACTTTATCTCCTACGAAAACAGCCAGTTCTCACGCCTTCTCTACTTTTGGTCAATACATAGTGTAAACCTATGGCCCCAAACCTGGCTAATGATGAAAATCATGAGGAAACTTTCTTAAACATATAGTTGCTTCGTTCTCTCCTCAATAATAAGGATCTAACAGGTGTTAGATATGGCCTAGGTGGAGGTGGTTTTAAACCGTTTCCCAGGTGATTGTAATCTGCAGCTCATTTGGCAAACAGTGGCACTAGCTTGGGTTTCCCACCAGCTCCCACTACCATGAATAGTGAGGCAAAGTGAGTCTAAAGGGTGGAGCCAGATAATAATACTTGCACAATTATGCACCAGCCAACTGGGCAGAACAAAGGCTCCCTCCTTCACCAAAGTTCAGTCAAGTTCCTCCAAGTCCTTTTCTTGATCAGGCCTCATTCTCAGCCCTAACCTTTAGAAAAGAATCTTGTTAAATTCATTTAGCAAAAATACCCCCATCTTAAATAGATGATCACTCTTGATATCTGATCAAATTCTTCACCCCCTACCCTTGACATCTATATATTTGGCCTACATTTAGTAAGAATGCAGTTAAGCCAGTTTAATGGGAACTCCATACCCTGTGTCTAATCAAACTCAGTAATTTTCCATTCACTGACTCCCTTAGTCTGTGGGCTATAAATCCCCCTTTGCACTTGTTGTATTCAAAGGTTGAGTTCAGTCTCTGTCCCCTGTTGCAATAATTGTCAGCTTCTGACATGGAAGTTCTAAAATTTCCATCACTCAAACAAATATTTACTGTGGCTCTTTCTCTGGTAGAGCTGAGGAATAAGCCTAGGCACTTTGCCCTCCATACTCACAGAAAAGCAAACAAGTAGACAGTTGCAATACACTTGGTGGCTATGACCAGCTTGTTATAACCACTTTTAAGGCAAAGAACCAACTATTTCAATTATTGGCAAAATAACTACTTCATTAGATCACATCTCTGAGATGATTTCTTTACCTTGTTTACTCCCTGTAGGAGTCCGCCGGCTTCCTACTTACCATTCTGCTGCAGAATCCTGAGGCACACCTTGGTCTCAAGGTTTCCGTCTAACTCCTGGCACACTGACTCTTCCATGGCTAACCTCTGCCTATGAAATGAAGTCTAGACTTAACCTGCCATTTCAGGCACTTCATTTCAAGCCATGCTGGACATCTATCTCGTTAGGCAGTGCAGAACATTCCCTTGGATACCTTTATCCACACTGACAAAATGGACCTTGGGCAATAGCAAAAAAAAAAAAAAAAAAAAAAAAAAAAAAAAAAAAAAAAAAAAAAAAAAAAAAAAAAAAAAAAAAAAAAAAAGTGCTGAAGGGACATTCTGACTCCAGAGAAGAGAGAGAAAAACACTGAGCTCAGAAAGGGGGAGTCTGAGGAACAAAAGTCAGGTAAGGGTAGCCCAGAGAAGCTAATGCTATCAACCCCTCCAGCTGACTTAATCATGGAAAAGAACTCATTGTGTCAGTCATGGTGTCTCCCTTCTGAACAATCAAATATCTCTACTGCCTCCCAAAGGCATAACAATATAGACAGCAGGATGAACCATTAGAACTTTGTAGAAACCTAAGGGTAGCCAGGTATCTGGAATTCCAGTCAGGCGCCAAATGCTTTGTGCAAAGAATCCTTGAAGCTGCTGTCAGCCTCCATATCCTCACCATTAAAATGGAGATGACAGGGCTGCCCTTTTCACCTCAGAGAAAGTGGGGGAGAGTGAAGTGAGATCAAGGATTTTAAAATGCTCTAAAAACTGCAGCTGGCCATTGAGACCTAAGAGGTTGTTATGACTACTCTGATGGGCCCTGCAAAACATACTGGAAAGGTTTTATAGCAACACACATGAGGGCAGCAGGTTGTTTCCAGCAATAAGAACAAGAAGAGAGGAACAGCACTGTCTTACACTTGGGCTGTCCAAGTTACCTTACAGCCATAGCCTGGGTGCTAGATGGAATAAAGAACTTCTGCAGACGCCTTGACAGCAAAGCACCTGCTATATCAACCACAGATGCCAAAGTCTGACAATAAGTAACCACACAGTGCCCTTCCCCTTATCTTTCTGAAAGCCTAATATTATCATTCTTGAAATCCCGATCCTCAGGTGCCCTGAGAAACATCTTCGTAGAAGAAGCATTGCACTGATGGAGAGTCTGCAGTTCTTCCTTCCTGAATTTGAACATTCAGACAGACACAGGCTAAAGAGAAAACTAACTGAAGTGTGTCTGACATACATGTCAACAGGTTTTCAGCAAACTACCCCCTTCATCCAATGTCCCCACAATGCACTTATCTAAGGATCCTGTGGAGGGAGCAATACTGTACCTCTCCAATAAGTTAGATAAGTAAACAGCATAGCCTTCCCCTGAATGAGAGAAGGACCCATAGACTTCCTGGAAAGCCCAAAGGGACATTTATAATGGGATAGGGGATGATAGAGTCTTATCAATTTCCCCCAAAACCTCACCTTATAGATAACCACCTACTGGTAAGAAGCACTCTGCTTTCTTAGGCCTCTGAAATATAGTACCACAAAAAAATCCCTTTTGGCAATCATTGTGAATCACGTGCCTCAATGTGCTAGCCCTGGGAAATTTTGTGGTAATGTCTATAAATCAGTGGAGCTGAGAATAAGTGCTGCAGACTTCTGTGTTGCTTATTTGAAAGCTATTGTTCCCCTCTCTACACAACATATTGATATAGGAATGATATCACACCTCTAAATGATATAGGGGAAATACTATAACTCCCAACCTGCTAGATGTCAGATACACTAAGTCTGTGTTCTCCAAAATTGAAGAATAAATTCTAAGGAACAACAGATGAAGAGTAGGAAATATTTATTGAGCAATAGCTCCTGAGAGACAGGATGGATCTCAAATGTGTTGTGGAGGAACCCATTTCACAGGGGAAGTTTTATAGAGCCAAAGATCAGGAGATGGGTACAAAAATCACGAGGTAGGTACAACGTGGGACACAACCAATGACATTACAAGTGTAGTCACTTAGGTAATATTGATCCAGTGGGGAAGCAAGTCGTGTAGCACAGGGAAAGAACAAAGAACTTCTCAGGAAGGTGATGGATCTGAGGGTCTTGGTCACCTAACAAGGTGACTGAGGTCTATCTAGACTTCATTATACCAGATGTTACCACTTGACTCATCCCTTGGGGTAGTATGTAGGCCTGGTCTCTTTATCTTTATCTTGAGGACTGGCCTGCAACTGATGCACCTCTGGCCACAGTTGTAGCATGTTTTCATCTTTTGCACTGACTGTCTCAAGGGCCCAGACCTATCTGACTGCCTATGATATTTCTACCTAACTTAGCTGTCTGTATAATAATATCTGATTGATGTGATAAAGGGAAAATCTAGAGAAATCAGCTTACAAAGGGATTGCAGCCAGCACCCTCTTGGCATCTTTCTTTTCCCTGCCAGAATTTGGGGCTTCCAGAGTATCCTGCAGACCTAACACAAAAGCACAAGCAGAGGCTATGGCTCTTTAAACATGAAAGCTTCAGTAGAGGCCTGAGGTCAGCGTGGTGATGGTAGGAAGGTTAGTATATGAAGCTTAAGTCAGACTTTAAAGCCTGGTTTTAAAAGGACCAAAATACTATCCTGTCCATCAATCAACCTAAAAAAAGAAAAAGGATAGAAAATTGGAGAGAAGACATAAGTGGAGATCAAACCCAAAACATAAGGAGACATATTCAGATTGTCTTCTAAGTGGACCACACCCTCTAATGTGTGATGCTGGCAAGTGTTCTATCACTAATCCATATCTTCAGCCCCTTTTGTATTATTTCTATTTTATTTTGGGACACTCTCACTAAATTTCTCAGGCTAGCCTTGAACTTGTGATCCTTCTGCCTCAACCTAAGTAGCAGGAATTACATGTGTGTGCCACCATGCCCAGCTACCTTTTAACTTTTTAAAAGCACAGACTAAAGGCTAGCACTTTTCAACAGAATTCTCTCTGATGATGGAAGCAGTCTATACTTGTCCTATCCCACACCCTAGCCACATGTAGCTGATGAGCACTTGAAATGTTGATGATATGATGGAGAAACTGAATTTTTCATTTTAATGCTTTTAAATTTAAATAACCATGGATGGTCATCTTATGAACTAGCACAAGTCTAGTTACCACACTCTGCGTTCAAATCTTAGGTCTGCCTCTTGCTAGCTAGCAGACTTAACCTAACTGACTAACCATTTTTCTCTGTGCCTCAGTTTATTCATGTGTGAAGTGGAAAAGATAAATAATAAGGGCTTTCACAGAACATTTATGAGGAGTGTGTGTGTGTGTGTGTGTGTGTGTGTGTGTGTGTGTGTTTCTTTTTGGTACCGGGGATCGAACTTGGGTCCTTGCGCTTCCAAGACAGGCAGCAGACCACTGAGCTAAATCCCCAGCCCTGTGTGTGTGTTCATATAGGTAGTGATTAGAGAAGTGTCTGTTTATAATGAGTGCTATGTATAATTTTTTCCAATGAGAAACGTGTGGTAGAACACATTCATTAGCCATGGTGAGGTACAAAGGAAGAAGAGCCCCTCACTGCTACAGAGAGGTGAAAATTTTGCACTCTTCTTAAGCCGGACTTCAGAAAAGATGCTATTTCAGTTATTGGCCTTCTCATGGAAGGCGGGGTGGAGGTGTAGAAGGAAGTGCTCAACCCTAGCTGGGGCATCTTGGCTATGGAGATATGAATTTGAATCCCACTCTAGTCACAACAGAAAGGATAAAATTAGGCAAAGGACTTTCCTTCTCTGAGCCTCAGTTTCTCTGTTTGTAAAATGAGGGTATGTAAAATTTTTAGATCATTTTCTTTAGTAAAACATGTTTGTGGTACATAATGTTTATGTAATATTGGTATATGTGAGGGTATGTAAATTTTTATCTTCCAAGAGTGGTGTGAAGGATGATTGATGGAACTAATATAAGCAAGGCACTCAGCACAGTGCCTGGTAACTGCTGTTTTTAATCATCAATTTCTGTATGTTAAAAGGAGAATCCATCCTAATGTATATAGGTGAGTAAAGTTATTTCTCAATCCATTATCAACAACTATGATCTCAGCTGGGGACAAGTAAGTGGACTTCCTAAAGCCCAAAGAATCAGAAAGCAACTGAAACCAGAGCTAAAACCCAACCTCTCTGACTCCTAGCCCCAGGTCAGGCAGCATGATAGAGCTCTTTTGAAGTATCTGCTGGCTGGTAGTTTTTGATGGGTTTGTAAAATATTTTTTCATCAGTCACTCTCAATATAGAAAACAGAAGTACAAGTTACTTCATTAAAAGCACTCACACATAACTGGATATATTTACATATTAAGCAGGCTACTGAAACTCTAATCTTCCTATTTTATGTACAGCTATAATCATTACTCAGCATCAGAATGCTTGTTAAATATTTGAGGTATACAGAGAGCTCTCAAATCTTTGCTAAGCACAGGTAATGATTTGAAAGTATTCTCATTCACAAACTAGATGTGATGCCCATCATTATGCCTTGACCCCTGGTGATAGAGTGTAGAGGCTCCCTGGAGATCTTTCACATTGACCCTAAACATAGAAAAAGATGTGGCTATAGCTCTCTCACTCTCTCAACGTCTGACATAACTGTTTATCTGGCAGTCACATACAGGAAACAAGTATCTGTCGTTTTGTGCATTGCGTTGTTAGCCAGAACACTGACAACTATTTGAGGGTTTACTGCCATCTTTACTTGTGAGAAAGTAAAACATAGTTTTGCAGAGTAAAGGAAACTAACATCAAGTCTAAGAGAAACTTTGACTTCTTATAACACTATTGCCTCAAACCAGCCCTAAATTTGGCCCCATTACTTGAAAAATAAATCAAATTTAAAACTCAATCAATTCCAGACTAAATATATTATAAGAAAAGTACAGACCAATATTCTCCACGGACATACACGAAAATACCCCCTTGCTACAAACATGTATTAATAAAAAATAAATATTGAAAAAATATCCTCTAAAATATTAACAAATCAAATCCAGCAATAGATTTTTTAAAAGGACAATATCTCTTGAACAAATGGGGTTTATCCTAGGAGACAGATCAAAATTTGAAAATCAATAAGTGTAATTTACCATATCAACAGATTGGAAAAATAAAAATCATATTACCATATCAATAGATCCAGAAAAGGCATTTAACTAAATGAAATTCTATTTAT